ATGTTAAAAAGATGAAATAAATATATTTTTAATTAATTTATATAAAAATTATAAAAAATGATTTTGAATTAATTAATTAATCAATTAAAATTATCTACACATCAATAGTATTAAAATAAATATCAATTTTTATAATTTTTATATAAATTAATTATAAAAAATTATATTTATTACACGCTTAATTTATATTTTTAAAATATAAATTAAATAAATTTTATATTAATTTCAATACAAAAGTCAACAATATTTCTCTCTTACATTAGCGGGAGGAAGTTTGATTTTCTTTATAGGGGATTATATTCTTTCTTCTTAAAAATAAAATAAATAAAATTTTATGCAAATTTTATTAGTCATTCAAGAGACATCCTAGTGGTAAAAATATTTAAAAATTTCCTTAAAGTCCCGTGTTTAAAACCTGTAGCTAGGTAATCTTTTCTAAAACATTAAGCTATTCAGTGCAATAATTTAACGATTTATACAAATTCAAATGATTCTATTGGCTTTAAATGGTTGAATCTCCTTATCGGTTTCAAATATTCACTCAGCCCATTTATATCATTGAGTATTGGTTCAACTGGTTGATTTGATCTGGTTTTTAAAATAATGACCCAATCAACCATATTATAAAATGTGCACATAAAAAAAAAAAAGCCATGATCAATTTTATATGAAATTTGATGTAAATAACTTCTAAATATTTCAAATCTAAAAAAAATAATAATAATCACTGAAAAATAAAATTAACAATAATATCTCTATTTATATCATTAAGTATTGGTTTAACTGGTCAATTTGATTTGGTCTTTAAAACAATGATTCAATTAACCATATTATAACAAGTTGCTCAAAAAAAAGAAAAGAAAAAAGAAAAAAACATGACCAATTTTATATGAAATTGGATGTAAATAAATTCTAAATATTTCAAATCTAAAAAGAAAAAATAATCACTCAAAAACAAAATTTAACAATAATATCTCTTTAAGAAATTAAAATAGAATATTTTTTTTTGAACGCAATGAAAACTTTCCATTACATCACCGCCATACGGCATCTATAGCAAAGCTTTATCCAACGGATAAGAGGAAACAACAAACAGAGAAAAACATCTGGAGAGAAAAGGCAGAGTAGACCCATATTGCAGAGGATAAAGGGAGGTGAACAGTACACTCGAACAACCGCAAGGAACAAGCTGTAGATATTCTGGTGGTCGAACGATCGAACAAACGGGACACCCTTCAATCTACTCATAAAGAAGTTGTGCCAAGCCTCTAGGACGCCGAGGCTGGAAACCCACACAGGCGAAGACCATTCCCCTTCAGCATCATAAGAAGCGCGATGGTCGCCAGATTTGGGGAAACCAACGAGCACCTCCAAAGATCTGCGTGATGGGTAAGTGAGCTGTCGAATCTGAAAGCAAACAAGGAAAACAGAAAAACAGAAAACCAAGAAAACAAACAGGAAAACAAAAAACCAAAAGAAGGCCACCAAAAGAGGTCCAACAACCGACAAACCATAGCAGGTCATTGAAACAGGGAGCACAAAGCTAGCTTCATCATGCTTGAGCAGCCGAAAATCCAGATGGCTCAAGCATCAAAAACTCATAAGCCCAAGGGCTTCCGATCTCGAAACAACGAAAACATAGGGGAAGGCAGTGAAAAGCAGGAGAAGAAGGTAGAGGGAGAGGGAATAGTTTCCTTTCACTCTTTTATATTAACTGCAGCTTCCCCATTAAAATAAAATAATTAATTAAACTTATCATTAAAGATTCTTCTTAACCTTGCTGAAACTTTTCGTCGGTCTTAACATGACTCTCTTCCTTGGGTGGAGAATAAAAATAACGAAAAAGTAGTGAAAAAAGATTCACCCTAATTCTTAAAATTCCTATTTAAAATGGGTTTGGAATAAAGGTTTTTGGTAACAAAGATAAAGATAACAACTCTCAGAGAAAATTTTTTTTATTTCTTCCATGTGCACTCCAACTGAATAGAGGTTGGAACCTGGAGTAAATATATCATTGAAAGGCTCTTTCTTTGAGAAATTCTTTTATTCTCTTTCATCTTTTTTTGTTATATTTTTTTATATTTTAAAAAAGTTAAATATTTTTTTCTTAGTTAGATTTTATCATTATTCCTTAATTTTAATTATTTATTTATCATTGAATTTTTTATCTCTCTTTTAAAAAAAACTTTAAATAATTATTTTTAAATAATTAATAAAATATTATAAATTATTAATAAACTATTGATTCTAATAAAAAAATTTTAATTTTTCTCAAATAAAATTTCAAATTTAAACATTCTATATATAAAAACAAGTACTAAAAACTTTTCTTTTGATCTTATTTGATTTCACTGCAAATTAGTTGTCTTCTAATATTGCTTCGGGACATCCCAAGGGTTAACACAAAAAAATAAATTACTATAATTAATTAATCATCTTAATCATAAGTGAAACCAACCCTTGCTGGTTCAGCTCACCTGCTGTCCCCGTTGTATTGAAAAATTTCTCTTTTCCCGTCTGCCATTGTTAAATTAGAAACTCAATTTCCTCTCGGCAGCTCTTCTTCCTCCAATGGGATCTTAGGGGTTCGAGAATCGATTAATCTCAGGAACTCTACTCGTTCATTGAAAGCCCAACTTCCGGTTTCCCGTTGCAGAAATCAACCTATTCTGATCACATTTCGGCGATTTCCAGTCAATCTAACGTATTTAATCTAATTTATATTCAATTTATGTCTCTTGATTTTTTTTTTTTTCCATGCTGGTTTCGGTATGTTTGAGTTTCTGTGGGAAGATTGGTAATAGAAGTTTGAAAGTAAGTTAATTTTATTTATTATAATTGAAGAAGAAAGGCAAACAAATCCCGAAAGTGAAAGATGTCAGCTTTAAAAAGAGAACTTTTGTTCATTTTTATTCACAAAATTTGATTTAAAACTTATTTTTATGTTAAAAAATTGCACTAGTTTAACTTTTGTTGATTTAAGCTTTGTGATTTTTCAAATCAGGCAATTAGCACTTCCATGGTGTCTTCTCTTCATTGTTTGTGCTTGTTGGTTTCTTAACAATGTAGGAAACTTGTGTGTCAGTATTGCATGTTATCTCTTGCCATGTTTATATTGCAGTTATAAGGGTTTGTACGGTTCGGTTGCGTTTCATGATCAATTTAACTTGTTATTTCACGTATATGTTGATTTTACGTTTATTTGAATTGCTTATATGGCATTGCTGCGAAAGGGATTTGTCTTGTTGTTGGTCATTAACCTAATTCTTTAATTCTATTTCACTTTTTTTCTTAGGTAATGGCGCTGAGTAAAAATGTCTTCTGCTGTTGTCATATTGATGGGGTGATCATTATGGGATCAGATCGATCATTGCAACACAGAGGGAGACGAACTGTTGGTGTCATGGTGGATAATGAAACGACATTTAACGTATATGTTGCTAAAATAAAGGAGAAATCAGAGGTGGACATAGGTGATCCAACATTGAAGTTCACATTGGAATTTGATAGGAGTTAATTGATTTAGTCAATGCTGCTGGAATGAGTGACTTGCTTCTTTTTAGTGATCGATATGCACATGTTTATGTGAGAAGTTCAGCCCCAATGCAAATTGGCTTAGACGTTTGTACTATGAAGCCTAATGAGGATCAGCTCAAAGTGTAAATGACTTACTTTAGAATGCCTTATATTGGTCCGTATCTTCACATCCTAGCTTGATATCTCTATTAGGAAGGGACTGATATTGAGTGTCTTCATTTGCAGGTGCCAGGGTTTGGCAAGCAACTCCACTGTTAGTAGCAATGTTGATGAGAATGATGCTGATCCACCTACGACCCATGTAATCGAGTGTACAGCTTCTACAAAAAGCAGTTTTACTTCTCAATCATGGAAGAATGAAATTATTGCTACTGGACAATCATTCCAAGATGCTGTTGCATTTAGGCAAGCACTTTACAGTTATAGTGTGGCACACAGGTTTGCATACACATTTCGAAGGAACACAAAGTCATACATTAGTGTTTACTGTAAAGTAGAAGGCTGTCCCTGGCATTTAACTGCTTATTGTGTTGGAGAAACTAAATCTACGAGGTGGGAACTTTTATCAGCAGGCATTCACACTCAGCTGAAGATGGTATTTGTGGTCTATCTCATGGGAGACTGATTAGTAGTTTCAGCCTAGAGACGCTTAAGTTGCAAGCAGACATGACCCCCCATGAAATTCGAGCTTGTTTTGGATGAGCTTGGAATTACATTAAATTACAATCACGCTTACAAATTGAAAGAGCTGGCAATGAGGAAAATTTGTGGCAAACCAGAAGAGTCATATAAGTTGTTTTGTCAATGGTAATGGAAACCGATGCTCATGCTGTTGCAAAGTTTACAGCAAGCTCTGATCTTCGGTTCAAACAACTGTTTGTTGCTTTTGGTCCTTCTGTTGATGGTTTTCTTAATGATTGCAGACCACTGCTCTGCATCAATAGTCATCATTTAACTGGGCTGTTTATAGGTGTTTTACTCAATGCATCTGCATTTGATGCTGATAATCAGGTATTTTCACTTGCTTATGGGGTTGTAAATTCAGAAAGTTATGACAACTGGTTGTGGTTCTTACAAAATCTGAAGGATTTGACTAGGAATTTGAAGGTGACCATAATTTCAGATAGGTGACAGGACATAATGGCAAGCGTTGCTGAAGTGTATGGAGCTGAGTTTCATGCATATTCTTATTGTAGCATCAAGGAGAGCTTTGAGGCAGAAGTTGAAAAAATGCATTTGTAGTGGGAAAAAGGTAACTGAATATGTACTAAAACTCTTGAATGAAGTTGTTTGTGCAAGGATTGGGCTGGATTACAATGCTCCTTTAGAAAAATTGAGTAGCTATAATGAAAATCTAGGCAAGTGGGTGGTGGAGAATCAACCAGAACATTGGGTCTTATCAAAATTTCCTTATCCTCAATGGGATCTTCTAACTAGCAATAACTTAGAGTCTACCATCCCATGTATAAAATTGGAGAATTATCACACTGTCCTTTCCTTTATTACCAAGCACAGAGAAAAGTTGGCCAAAAAGTTGTGGGCCTCTAAAGCTGCTATAAGTTCTTGGATAAAAGGTGTTGGTCTCACTGTAGAACAGAAGTTAATGGAAAACATTGCAAGAAGTCAAGAGATGCAAGTCTTAGCTTATTCAGATCAATCAGCAAAGGTTGGTACTGTAAATGGTGATCACTTTGTTAACTTGGCTAGTGAGGAGTGCACATGTGCAGCATGGCAAATGTTTGGTATTCCATGCCCTCATGCAGCTGCTGTGATTCAATACTTGAGGGGTAATATTTACAATTTTGTTGCTGAATGGTATGGTAGAAGCAAGCAAGAGTTGATTTAACACAATAGTTCCAGTGGAGACCCCTGATATTCTCCAGTTGGATACTACAGACAGCTGCGTGCATGACTCAGATGAAGTTGTCTTGCTGCCACCTATTATTAAGCACTCAGCTGGTCGGCATCCTCGTCCACAAGAGGAGCAAATTGATTCACAAACAACAAAAAGAAAGAACATATTATGCTCTCAATGTCATTTAGGTGGTCACAATCAGAGAAATTGCAAAACTCCAGATCTTAATGAACTGCATGCTGCATAAGTATTTCTATGTAAATCTAGCATTATCTTGCCTCGTATGCTTTTAGTTTGATTGCATAATAGTCTATTACTTTGGCTACTCAAAACTTTGATGCTTTAGTAGGCGGGCAAAATTTTGAGTGTTCTTTGTGGTCGCTTGCTAATTGCTATATGGTTGATATGAACCAAATGTAAAGTTTGAGCTACTATAGTGAATCTAAAGTTTAATGGAGAATTCCATCTTGTTTTGCGTGTCAAGCTCACATCCTTATTCATCACTCATCTGGTTCTCAATGTCTACTCTAACATCTCTTGCATCTGGCGGACTACTTATACTGTCGACTTCTTAGTACTTGGAACCAGCAAGAACAGCTTTGGTTCGTGACATTGTGAGTATTATGTGGATTTTAGTTAATCTTTACAAGTTCCCTTTTTTTTTTAGTCAAAGTACATTTATTGTCTTTGAACTATTTGGTCTTGTATATAGCAGTGTAATAATTGATTAGAAACTTCAACGCTCCATTTTTCATAGCGCGCACATGCTCTAGGGTTTTAGTATACAATGATTAGGGACTTGTGTGTAGTGAGCAAGATATAGAAAAATAGTAGTGTTATTATCTTAGACGATCTTCCAACATGAAACTTAGAATAGATTGCAACTACTGCATAGAAAAACCTCAGGTTGATGCTTGATTATTGTCTGCAAAAATTAAGTGAATTATACCATGTCTCTTAAGTTCAAGTTTGCAAATTTCAAGAGGAAGGAACAAACAATTTTGGGGGTAATTATTCAGCTGTTTAATCAAGGCAATACTGAACTGTAGAATGCAGTTGTATTAACAGCTTTAACACAATTTGAGGATTGCATGGTCAATGGAAAGTACTGCTCATTAGATCTGGCAAAATTGCATTAAATCTGAAGATTCGACCCAACTCACTTATTATTGGTCAAATTATGGGCATAAAGTATTGGTCCAAAATTTAGTATGATCTAGTTGGAAATTACTTGGATTCAAATAGATTGGATTGGCTTAACTAGAATTGATCTGGCTAAAATTAACTAATTTTTTAAATTAAAATTTTAATTAATTATACTTTTAATTTTAATTTTTAAATATAAAATAAAATTACATACTATAAAATCATTATTATTTATGAGATTATTAAAGTTAATATTAATTTAATAGATTTTTTCAATTAAATAATTATTTAATATATTAAATATAAAAAATAGAGAAAAGATTAAAAATTTTAATTTTAATTTTTTTAAAGTTATTTACCTAACTCAATTCCAAAACCTATGTAAATAATTATAGGTTTGATCCTTTTAACCGGAATCCAAAAGGATTGAACCAAATAAATCTAAAATCTAAAATAATATAATCCAAACTCATCCAATCTGTGAGGAATGGGCCCAACATTGAATTTGAGTCCAGTACAATAAGCCTAATTATTTATCCCAAAGCCCAGACATACTCACGTGGATGGCTGAATGTGAGTGGCTACACTTGGGTTAATTGGATAGTAGCATATGTGGCATTATGTCATCATAGGGGGTTTATAAACACCATCATCTATCTCCACCTAAGGTAATAACTTTACTATGCTTCTTTCTCTACAATCACTCTTGAGTGCTTTCCTCTTTAATATATTGAATATTATTAACTTGAGTATTGAAGCGTTTTGCTTGAGGAAACATCTTCGAATTTTTCAAGTATTGAAGCAGTTGAAGATTTCTATAATGCAGTTTGTGAAGCTGCCCTAACAAAATCCAACCTATTTTCCATGTGCACTGCTCTTTTAAAACCTATATAAGGGTATCTCCTTGTTTGTTTAATGTGGATTACGGTTGTTGATGTAAAGACTCGGAAGGGAAGTGTGCCGTGTATTATATACTAGCCTATATGGTTTGCTTTATTTATTAATTTATTATTATATGTTGGATTTCTCTGAATTTATGCTATACATTAATAGTTTAACCAGACTTCAGTCCGCATCCAAAAATGTTTCTTCCTTTTTCCATTTTAGCCAAAGAAGCTGGTGCTCACTAAGCTATCGTAAAGTTTCAGATCTTGGCTTAAACTCAGGATTATAGTTTTGAAGTTATTAGTACTAATTTGATTATTGAGTTTTGTTGGTTCATAATCATGCCATTAATATTAAAGAAATTGATATTTGCATTTTTAATATGCATTACCCTAAAGATTACTCACTTTTCTTTAAAATGTTACTGCTTCCTCTATTATTTATTTCTTTCTTTCGTTTATGTTCTGTCTCAAAATAGTAATTATTTTTTATTTTAAATTTGTTTAAATTAATTTTTTAAAATAGATAAATATTTTTTTATTTTAATCCTATTATTATTTATTTATTATTTTGATTAATTAACTTATTATAAAAAAATTCACTTTATTTTTATTTTTTAAAAAGTAATATAAGTAAATATATAAACTGTCTAAAAAATTTTAATTTTTTAAAAAATAAAAAAATAATAATTACTTATTTTGAGATAGAGAATGAGAACTATATTTGAGTGTTTTCATACATCCCAGACATTGAATGGTATGGGCTCCGTTAAAACATTGAATGGCACTAGGTGAATTTTATTAGGGACAAATATGGTATTTCATACCTCTTCCCCTAGAATGCATATGCAAGAAGTGATTATGGCTACACAATTTAACTAATTTGTTATTAGTTTATAATTTTTTGTTAAACAGTTAAGCATGATATTTAAAAATATCTATTTAAAAATTAATTTAATTTATTAAATAATGAAAATTAATTATTTTATTAGTTATTAATTATTCTTAATAATTAAATTAAAATAAAAATTAAACATATTGTGTAGCCCTAATAAATGTCCATGTGGCAATAGCCACTACCACACTTGGATAACCCAAAAGTGAGATAAATACTAAAATGGAAAAATAGAGTAAATCATAAAGGGTTTTTTATTCTATAATTGAAGATATAGGTAAATAATGTATTAACTATATTTTTTATTAATTATTATAAAAAAGTGGATTTTAATATTATAAACCACCCTATTAAAATAGTACACATATCATTAGCGTTAAAAATAAAGTTAGTTTTTATATTTCATACAAATTAATTGGAGTAAAAATGAAATTAATGCATTTTTAATATTTGACCCATAATAATATAAAAAAAGTACATATTAAACAAACTCAATTATAAATACAAAAAGTCTTCAAAGTGCAATTTGATTTATGAATTTACTAAAATATTTTTAACAGAACTCTTCTTTAGTTTATATTATTAATGACATCTTAGTAATATCAATATTTGAACTATACTTTTATTGTGTTATTTACCTTAAAAAACATAAAACTCTTATAAAAATTGTTTAAATCTAAAATATATCTTGAATAAATATCAAATGTGCCTTTAAAATCTTCAATAATTCTCTACAATCTTCTTAAAATCTCAAACAAATATATGGTAAGACTTTTAAAGAATTCTCATTGAATGAGTTGAGGGCCACTATATATTATTGCTAATGGGTAGTCGTTGGCTTTATTAATTTGGGATTTTACTTTATTAACAATTTTTTCCCACAACAGTATTTAAAAATAAAAATTTATTCTAAAAAATTAATATTAATAAATATTATATATATTAAATAATTGTGATTAATATTTTTTATATTTTTACAATAAAGAAAAAGACAAAATGACCTGCCATTATAG